GATACTCTACCCAATCAATCTGTTCATAGTCGACCAGCACATTCTGAAAAGTATATTTCGAGTGAAGGGGTTGCAGAATAATTAGGTGGCGCAGAAATGGTATCTTTACCAGTAACTGCTCCTATCATTGCGAGCTTCTTAATGTCACCGATATCAATATATATCATACTCACCTTACTACTTCTTGCTATTATATGGATCATTGGAAAAAAAAAATGGAATTTATGGAAAAAAAGTAATACCAAGTATTCTTCTAACTGGAACTATTTTTTATCATCTCTGGGCATTTCTGAGGCCGGGCTATACAATCGAAAGCCAAAAGTTTGGAGTGATTATCCTAGGCTGGAAGTTCGAAGATAGGAATTGAAGTTAGTTGGTATTATTGCATGAGAAAAAATATGTAAATAATATTATGAGTAGCGTCTTAACGACTAAGTACTTAGCTGAAATTGTCACATCTCGCTAAAAGTACTCGGAAAGATTATTGTAAAGTTTTTATATATTTTTTAAGCTGTCTTACAGTCTCGTCTTAGGAGTATTTGTCAATCTTCTTTTTTCTCACATCTGGATTCTTGATCTGCATTATTTTATGTGATGGGTGTGGTTGATAGCTATCGTTCTCATTGATAAAGCGTGCGCACATTGCAACTGTAGTGCCTAAATAATAATTGATATCTATTTTCATGTTTTGCTCTTTTCCTATGTTCGATGGATACTCCATATAATCCCCAACTCTATATGGTATTAACCTGCTTTTCTCATCATGAAAACGGGGAGCCTTCACAACGATATAGCTAAACTGTTTACCAGGATCGGGAATCCTCTCATTTCTTTCTCTCATACGTTTCATAAAGCGATTATTGCAGAGATTTTTTTTCTTAGGCCTCCATGTCCCCATCACAATAAATTCATTGAAATCCCATTTCTTGTTTCCTGCTTCTCTAAGAGTATCTTTAACAATTTTGTCAATTGGGCGCGTATTATTTATATCCATAGCCTCTCTCATTATCTTCTCTCCGATGAATTTGAGAAGCTGGGATTTACCTTGCTTTACGGTATCTATCCCTTTCATGAAAAGATTTTTCGGTTTAAAGTTTATTACATCTTCATGCCCAACCCTAAAGTATTTCTTTTTACCAGTAAAGCAGACAGAAAATAATACCTCTTCATATGTCATATTTAGATAAGATGTTCTACTTTTTATCCTAAGATTAGTGTTTACTTGATCACGCAACTTTTTCATCATATTCATAGTAATTTTGACCATTTCAGTCCAGTACGCTTCTTTGAAAAGTTCTTTTCTGGAGAAGGCTTCATCGCATTTCTCGTAGTACCTATCTGGGCAAGTGAAATACAAAGAATCGGTATCCCCATATTTTATCCCAAACCCTTTCTTTGATATGAATTCAGCAATAAGATTAAAGTTATATTTTCCCGCTGTAGTTGTTTCACAGGCTAATTTACGAAGAAAGATTGGAGATTTTGAGTTGCCTGCCTTCCCATAAAAAGTGTTCATATATACCTTTAAAGCTTTTTGCTTTGAATCCCAATAATCGTAATCGAAGCATACGGATG